AGTCGAAAAACTCCAACATCCGAAGCATAAAGACGTTTTAAAAACGGAAGAAAAACTTGAACCCTACCACGTCAAGCCTCCACTTCTACCAGAATATGAAGAACGTCCTTTAGATAACTCTGAGAAACCATTTACGTGGTTACAACAGCAACACAAGGAAGACAAAAATAAACACGAAGTTACTTTGCCCAACTCTGCAGACGGAAGATCGCCTTCTGTTCGTCCTGACAAGCCACCGTTAGATAATCCACCAAACCATCTCAACCCAGGACAGTATTTCACATCTCCAAGCAGAACTCCGGTACTTGTTCCAGAACACATTTTTCATGTCCAGGCTGTTCCAGGCTCAGCTACAATCCAACAAGAAAATCCTTCTCCAGAACATCATTCTGATGGTCCTTCGGATCCACATCTTGCACAGATACTGATGCATTTACAGAGACAGGGAATCCTTCCTGATCGTTTCACAATACTTCAAGACGGTCATCCACCTCACGAAGACACGCTACAACAACAGAGAACAGAGCCACAAGAAGAAAATACAAAGGCAACACCCGAAAACAGACCCGTTTATGAAAGCGACTCTGATGATATTCGAATTCACATTCCTCCAGGACGTCTACCACCCCGATACATCCAGGGAACCGTGCCGAAACCAAGTCCTAGACCTAGTCAGTATCCATCTTTATACCAGACAGGCGTGCCTCGTCCATTGCTTAATGATCCCAGAAATATTTTACCCCATCCCTTACTTCCAGACCAATATCCTGACCAGTCAGGTCGACAACCAGACACAGATGGACCACTCGTGGCTCATGTACCATATCAAGGACTGTTGGCATCACACCAATACCAAGGGGTACAGCACATTCCACCCCATGTTGACATTGACCATCTGCTACTGACATCACAAGGACGCCACAACCGGTCACAACCAGGTCAGTTGTTTCGACTTTGTGAAGCCTGCAGTAGACTTAGCTGCATGAGGTTGCGGCGTAGACTTGAGACAAAGTAGTGCAAGACTGTAACATCGAAGTCGAATTTTCGGGTCTACGGGTGTACATTAACACTTTAAAGCCTGTGATAACTATAAACACGACCTTTTAAAACATTAGGTAACTTTTCATTTTGCTCACAGAGCGTTTTGTTTTGTATGATTCTCAGTTTAAAAGCAATAATTTAATTAAGCAACATTGACCAATTAATATTTGTAAAGAAAACGTGCTGTACGTTTTATAGTTGATAACTGAATATTTAAATATTAGGCTATTTAGACGAGCTTCAACTTACATGGGTTAAAATTCTGCACATGAAATTTTGGGTGAAAATTTGTCGCTTCTTTTCGCTGCGTGTCAAACTTACAAGAGCTTAAACTGCCAATTTCTTGGTTAAAACACAGTGTAGTCATGTACATGGAATTTTCTTAACTACTTCCATAAAATAATCAGCGCCTTTTGGCATTTGAAGTAATTGAACTTTCTCAAGCTGTAGCCTTTTGGCATTTGAAGTAATTGAACTAGCACGTACTTTCTCAAGCTGTGGTACGAAACATCTCATTTTGTTTTCTTGTTTGAAAATAGAAATATTAATTTTATAGGCAGATCCTCTGCTCCTGTCTGGGATCGAACGCCAGTGACTATACGCACTGAGCAACCCCGGCTCCTTGGATGAAATAAGAATAAGATAATAAAAAATAACGTTATAAAAAAACAAGCTTAATACGAACTATAAGCCGATGTTTTTAAATGAGCGTTTATAACGTTTATTGTGCGAAATCGCTAAACATTCACTCTTTGTGTATATGCATTGAATTTATTTGACTGAGGATAGGAATGAACCTTCAAATTCCATAAAATCTTCGGAATTTAATGACTCTCTGAACAACTATCAGTTTTTCCGAATCTGCTCCATGGGTATATTTGCGCCGAGGTTGAAGAAGGCCCAAGTTTAAATCTGACCAATCGCCCTCAGGGCTGAGAATTTGTTTAATGACGTCTTGCTTGTAGGTTACTTAACGACGCATTGTCAATGTAAAGGTTACCTATTATGGAACGAAACGGTAAAATATCATAAATAGTTAAAAGGTGAGGATTTGGAAGAAGACAGTCTGTTTCAAGGTACAATAGCGGAATTCGTCTACAGAGTCTGAAAACTATCAGAATGTGACCGGCATTGAAAACGGGAGCCTAAATGTGCGTCCAGACAGCTCTACCCACACCCGAAACCATGGCTGATATGCATCGTGCTCTATCAGCCCAGGCTCGTAAAACCGCCCACATTTACGGAGGCTTGACGCAACTTAAATAACAAAAATCGAATACACCGCGCGGTGGAAATGCGTTTAGATTTAAAGCAACGCCATTTGTCAATGTGTTTCGACCTTAAGCATGAAATTGTAATGCGCGTGTGATTTCTTGTCTATTATATATTTCCTTTTTGCTACCATAAATGCCTTAATCTTTCTTGACTGTTTCCCTTTTACAAATTATCAATCCTCGACCTAAAGAAATTTTCTGTAAATCTCAACTATGAATTCCAATATATATATAAACCTGCACTTGTCTCGTCTGAAAAAATTGCAAATGCCAATATAATCAATTGCTTTTCTCTGCAGTGTGATTGACATTCTCCTCACTCTTTTAGATATTCAGAAATGTGTAACCTATACAGAATTCCAGCTGACCGGTTGAGATATTCCATCTTCTTCTATTGTCGACATTATTTTCCGACATAACTTCTTACTTGGCTGTATAAATAATCTATATGAAATAGAGAATTTCTTCCGTGCTTCCATCTTGTGTTCAACTTCCGCGATATCGTTTACAATCTGACCACTTATTCTGCTGAGTGGGAGTTCTTTATGCCAAACAAAAAATACAAACAAAATAAGATAACCAAAACATTTTAAATACAATAGTTTTACATTCGGTATAAAAATAATTTCTCTATTTTCAAGTGTTTTATGCAATATGGTACAAGAAGAATAGATAGGTATTTAAAAGTGGTTTACCAACTGTAGCAGTCATTTACCGAAGCATTGTTTTATAGGGCTATGGCATTCGGTGGACTTCAAAGGGCTGTTGAGAAAGCAATCGTAACCGATTTTAAGAACTAACCTTCAGTCTTTTGAGAGACTGAGGAAACTACGAATAAAAAATAGTTGGTATTCCAGTCGATTCAAACCCGGGATGTCTCGTATACAAGTCAGAAGCATTACTGCTCTTGCCTAAAACACTTCACATATTAATTTGAAGTATAAATAGCCGTTTGTACATTTGTTGACTGGGCTGATTTAGTTTTTCTTCTAGAGAAAACTCTTAAATGGTCCTTGAATTAAATTTAATTTTATGATTTATCTCCTGAAATTTACTGCGTGTTTTATTGCTTCTCTCGTAACAGTTCTGCACGAATGTATTACTTCTAAAGTGTTTTGTTCTAGTTTCTTACGTATATGCTTGTTTCATGTGTACTGTACTCTTTTTATTATTCCTGCCCCTCTGTTTACGAGGCTCTGTTGCTAAATCAATGCGCTTCACGCTCCTTCCAACATCGTCTGAGAAGCTTTAGAATGAACCTTTATCTAATGGACACAATACACGTCACAATATACCTGTAAATTTTATTTACAACAACTTACTAAGACAGTCACTTTAGATGAGGTGTTCTGCCTTCGTCAAACACAAAATTCTGTCCAAAGATTCAACCTGCTGTGTCATTCTCTATAATGGTTGCCGAACACACATAGCAGATAAGTTAAGATACATAAATTAACGACACTGCTCTTCAAAAATTTATTTTATCACGTGTTACCACGGTCTTTCCAAGATATCCGTCAATTTTAAATTGAATTTGTTTATTACACTATATATTGTTTCCTAAATCGTGTTTCTGGGGCATCTACAGATCTATATTTCGTTACGAACTGGAAACTTTCTATTCAAAAACGAACCTGCATCACAAAAAGTAAAAATAAAATATACAACACAAATATTCAAGACAGATCCTAGTGCTTATACTTGGTTCGTTTTATACAAATAAATTTTATTTCCATTTGTACAGCACAGACTGGCAAACACCTACATAGCACATTAAAACAATTTGCAGTTCTTTCTAATTTCAAATCTACCTGCATATGTAACGTGTCCAAGACTATTTTGTAAAGTTTGCCTATCTGATTTCTAATATTTGTGCTCATAATTTTAACAAGCACATTCGTGAGATTCTCGCTGACACAAGGTGTGAAAATTACAAGCGCAGACACTGTGACTAAGTATCTCTTATTCTTATCTTGTAGAAACGAATACTACTCACCTATTGCACGATGCGCTCTGTTTAATCGACAGTAAACTTCTCGGTTCTTCGTCCTCTGGAGGAAATAAATTTTGTAAAAAAGATTGCTGTCTTCTTGGTTGTTGCGCCGCGTAGTCAGGTAGATGTCCACCAACGTTTCAGAGGTCATCGCCCTGATGACGGAGGCAGCATGACCTCGGAAACGTTGGTGGATATCTACCAGACTACACGGCGCATCAAGCCAGAAGACAGTAGTAATCTTCAGACTCAGCGCCGTGAAAATCTCAAATCCTACAAATTTTGTAAACTTCTTTTATAATAGCTTTGCAAATTTGTCTATTTCTTCTACACTAAAACAATATATATATATATATTTAGTAGTTAACAGGAAATAATACTGTCTTACTTTACGTTCTAGGTCACGAAATAGAACACACCTTACACAATCTAATCTTAGGATATTTTTATTTAGGTCGACCTCCGTCAACAATAGTTCATGCATCAACAGTAAAAATTTGCGCGTTTGTGTAATAAGTAACAAATTACTTTTCAGTTTATTAGATTCTTCCATCCTCACTAATACGTTTGAAAAGGAACTTTTCATTTGGCATTCCAAAATAATTATGGTCTCTCGCGCAAGATAAAATTAAAAAGTAGATGCACAATTCTAGCAGGAATACCTGAAGGTAAGAGACCATATGGGAGACCCAGGCATAACCTAATTGGAAGAATAATACTGAGGATACTGGGAACGACCCGTTATTCAAGTGCCCGAGCACTGCGGGGCCCCAACCTTTCGTTGGCTTGATCTATAGACATTCGGTAGGACACCTTGGACGAGGGATCGGCCCGTCGCAAGGCCCCTACCTGAACACAGGACACGCGGACAAACACCCATGGCTTGAGTGGGATTCGAACCCAGTGATCAAGCGGCACAAGGCTCACGCCTCAGACCGCGCGGCCACTACGGACCCCAGAAGAATAATATTAAAATGAATATTGAAAGAGACAGGACGTGAGGGTGTGCACTGGATTCATTTAATGCAGGGCAGGGCAAATTTAACAGGCTCTTGTCAGCAATGAACTTTTGTGTTCCATGAAACGATGAAAATTAATTTACTATTTGAGCACCTATTAAATTTTCAGAAAGAACTCTGTTCTAAGTTAAATTTATTCTTATCCTTACATATTTCTTAATTATGACAAATGAAAAATTAACCTTTCGGTGTATTAGTTTCTTAAAAGCGTAGTGGTAAAATTTTGGTTGTTGATATCTGTGGAGAATTCTCTTTTTTCACACATTTAAGATTGCCTTAACAAACAGTGTGCCCCTTGGGACGTTTCCAATCAACAGCTGTTATATCGTTATCCACGCATTCAGATCAACAGCCAATGGTTTGGTGTTACACTAGCATATAATTCCAAAATTTGAACCTTTTAACCACATCAATAAGAAGAGAGATTTGCCAATACTTTATCTTTACTTTCATTTAAAATCTTTCGAGTTGACAGCATGCTCTATCAAGCCTAAATTGCGCAACACGTGGGTGGTTGGTACAGACGGCTGTAGTAGTGATTCTGTTAGCAGGATTCCTTGAGCACCCGCTATCTGCAGGCTTTCCAGTGCAGGGACATATCAGGAGGGATCAAGGTAAGATGGATTCTCTGGTTTCTTGGTACTTTGTAGAAAGATTACTGTAGCTTAATAGCCCACGTAAATCTGAAATAACACGTGTAGCCCAGTATCCACAGATCTTAAAGTACCATTTGATGATTACCTATATTTTACATTTTATTATAAACAGTATTGTTGTATTCTGCTTATTTATGAATAAAACAAATGAATGTTCCGCCACCATTCGCGTAGTTCATCTAATCAATTATGGGAACGTGTAATAATATAAAATGGCGGAATACATGTTAGTTATGGACGATTGATTTAATAGTCGCTGACAATTTATAAATCCTATATTATATATTTCATAGAATGAGACACCATAAGGCTTCATTCATACTAAATTAATTTTCTGAACTTAGGTCTTCGAGGTATCGTCTTTTGGAAGTGATACCTGTGAGATAGAAAGCCATTAAAATTGCTTAAAAATAGTATCTTAAATATTATGACAAATCTGGCACAACCAAGATAAGATTTTGTCAAATTGTATATTTCAATAAGTATACTGACTGGTTGGACAATCGGGGTTCCATTCTTTGTAGGAGTGGAATATTTCTCTTCGCCACGTTAAGACTAACTCTCCATTGGGTATTGGTTTATCTGAGAATAAAGCGGCCAGGGTGTGTTATCACTCAGCATCTGTCTAGTACCCTTGTTAAGAATTTGTAGAACTATTTCTCCTTATCCGTAATATAGAGTGCAGTGTATAAAGTAGCACGGGGCAACCTCACCACATCTACCTGTTGTCTGAATATGACTAACGAAACAACTTTACCTAAAACTTCTAGCTTTTTGAAAATAGAAGCAACCTTTCTGTAGTGCAGCTAACAGTATATTTCTGTGAAGCCATTAAAATTACGATGAAAAAACTGACCGCATACTCATTGGTATTAGTTGAACTAATTGCCAGGGTTCAATTTACAGGAGGATCAGAGATTTGCCTGTTCGCCACAACCTTTAGCCCGGCTCTGGAGCCTATTAGGCTCCTATCCAATGGGTACTACTTGTAGTTTCTGTTTTCCCAAAGGCAAATCAGCTTCTAACTTCTATCTAGTGCCGGGATTAAGAACACGCAAACTCTTACTTCCATTCCTTACCCATTTACATGATGTGGTGCTTAAGTACAAGGGTAATTTTACTTCAGAACCTGATAATTGTAAAACTCCGGACGCCGAAACCTGTACGTAAGGTAAGGAAATGTGAATAATGTTAGCTGCCGACGGACAATTTAATTCATTCGTTTGGACTACCCACAATTACTAAACTGACTGATAATTGCGATTGTGTTGCAGATGAGATCACGGTACACACGCTGGAAGCTGTTGACGAGCACACAGTTAAGCTCATTTTCTCCGTTCCTCCAGTTCTGGTCGGCCTGCACGGGAGAGTAGAATTACGCTACACCTCGGACAACCAGTACGTACTCACCTCACGGCCTGTTTCTAACCACCCTCGTCTTAGTAATGTTCCTCGCGTTAACAGTACGTACTGTCCTGTTCCATTTCTGCTTTATGTTGTACGCATTTATAAATGAGTTACAATCGCGAGACTGATTAATAGAATAATAGGATATTGGCATTTGGTGAAGAAATATGATGTCAGGAATCTGAATGTTGTGGTATTATCAACTCAGTTTTGTATACATACTGTTGATGAGCATTCTTAGACTATTTGGTCGAACATTCTGCCATTTTTCGATGCGGGTCCTAGGATCTAGAATCCAATCTGGACATCTAGAATACGAAAGAAGAATGCTAAACCCTCAACCACAGTATGACCAATTATTATACACTGACTGGAATAATAATATGGCAACATGTCTATCTGCCTATTACGAATGCCAGTGGCAGATAAAACCCATAGGGCCTGATATAATATGTCTTAAACGGGAAAAGAAGATTTGGAATAGATTCATGTACCTCACGATAGAACCCAATGGCTCATTGTACTGAACACTGTAATAAACCTATGGGTTCCACAAAAATAGAAATAATTGTCGAACAGCTGGTCGACTATTAGCTTCTCATGAAGAAAAATGTTCCGTTGAGATTATTTAAAGTCTAATCCTTCAAAATTCTAGAATACACAACACTAATGACAATTATATCCTCTTTCTTCGGAGATACTATAGTCGAAAAATAAATTGATTTTTTACAAGAAATGGGAATACAAGAGCTGTTGCACTACTTGCAGGAACAACGATCCCTCGTCGTGGAACCAGCAGGTGTTGGCCCCGCCCGGTGACCTGATCGCCACCCCCCAACTGGAATTCGAACTTGGAGATCTCACTCCGGATACACAGTACAAGATCAAGATCACAGTGATCCTGCGGGACCTGCATAACTCCCCTAGCAGCAAGATCCTCTCAGTACACACTCCTCCTTCAGGTAAGGATGTTAAACGAAATGAACATTACGTGAAATGTTTCGCCTCAGAAACCGTCTCTTGTCTGCCTTGTAAGGATATTTAAGTAGATTTATGATATTAATTTAAAGATTTAGAAAATCTTATGAACCTAACTAGCAAGCGAAACTTGAATAATAAAAGACAAATATTTATAAATATGAGTGAAATAATTTATAAATGTTTTGGTAAAATAATTTTCAGGTTTATATATTTTAAAATATACAAAATACTGATCGAACCAGTGATAACATACGGTAGGAAGATGTGGTCACGGGATGACAGAAAAATTTAAGTCAGATAATCAGAAACAAGAATTTCACAATCATCATATGAGCATAATCAACGAAGACAAAGAATACTGAAAGGAATTACACATTTAAATCGATATTGTAATTATGACGTTATTACTTATAGTAAGAGATGAAAACAGCAAGCAGACAGAATGGATGAAGACAAGTTGAAGAGTAACAAGAAGACAAGCTATACGCTGCCGTAGAAAGAGAATTTTGAATCCAGTAAAGGAATTACGTTGTTTAATATAGGAAGAATACAAGAACGTGTTCCAAAACTTTTTATCACGCCATAAACCCCATTCCATAATGATATTATTTTCGATTGAGCTCACATACCTTCCATCCAAGTCACTTTGCGTCTAACTGTCGGCCAGTATGTCTTGGTTTAAAGTTCCTTTTTGGACTCATGAGCAGATTTTAGGTCATTGGTCTGACTGTTACAGTGTGTCGTGTTGCGTCCTCTTTGACAAGAAGGCAAGTCTGTCCTTTGTCGTACTTACACCTTTTATGTGTCTCTCCACATATATAAAGCTTATATGGAGAAGATGGCTGTCTTCTGGTTTGCTGCCTCTATAATATCTCTGATGATGGAGGTCGCAGGTACCTGTGAAACGTTGGAAAATAAATACGAGACTATGAGTAGCAACAACACAGAAAACAGCCATTTTAATACCCTCCTGAAATCTCACTTTACGTAGTGTCCTGCAAATCCTTTCCTTACGAACGGAAAGGTAGCTGGAGTGAGCATGCATCTCAACTATGCAAGTTAGACAGATCACACATTTTGTTCTAAAATAAACATAATGATGAAGCCGAGGCGTGTACGACTATATATGACATCTAGCGTAATTAAAAGTTATTGGAATATGAATTGATTATTCACAATCTGAAGGACGTCATCACAACAAGAGTTTGAAATAAACGTAAAATGATTTATGGCGGGAAACTTCCTGAGTAGATGAGAGTATTGCTAGTTTTTCAAGAAGGCCTCTGCTCCAAGGAGGTACAACTCAGGGCGACAAGCGCTAAGTGATACATTTTTCTGGCAAACGCAGTTGCAGTGTGTGAACACAATCGTGTCTGTGTTTCAGCCACGCCCACCACAACGCTGCCACCACAGATTCCTGTCGACGTCGAACTCACCGTTATCGACGTCAACTCGACCTGGGCCCGGCTCATGTGGCGCAAATTCTCCGAGTTTGAGCTTCAGTTTATTGACGGAGTACAACTACGATACAAGGAGAGAGCAGGCAAGGTAAGACACTACAGATGCGATGTAAGTTTCATGAGGAGATGGATGTCTTCTGGGATGTTCAGCCTTGTAGTCCGGAAGATACTGACAAACTTTTCAGAGGACCTCATCAGAGTTATGAGTTCGATCTGACGTTGATATTGATAAATTTTAATAGACGTTATAGGAGAGCTTACTGTCTACATTTCCAGGGTTAACTCCTCACATTAAATATGGAGGCAATAACCCGATCTCATATGTCTGCCATTATCTACCAGACTGCATGATGCAACATCCCAGAAGACAGCCGACTTCATAGACGTCGCCGACAGAACCTCATATCTCGCCAGGATCTGCATATATTGCACTGAGCACCAACGACTATTAAAAGGTTTCAATCAAGAAATATATCGAAAATATTAGTCAGAAAGCCTGAATGAGTCTATTTGGGAGAACAACGCATAAATGGGCTCGGTATAGAGTCCAGTGGCGGCTCTAGTTAATGTCAATGAATCTTTCGAGTTCCAATAAAAGGCGGGAATTTCTTGTCCAAGTGAGAAACTGTCAGTTTTTCGTGGAAGATTTTACACCGTTGAATTAGTCACTTGGTTTGTTGGTTATTTCGTCACTTTTCTTGTGCTGTTCCTCCGCTTTTACACCTTTCCTTCGACGCGGCATATTTCTGCAAAGCCTTCAAAGACAAATCCCACCAGCTTCAACAATCAGCACGTATTCATTTTGTATTTATGGGTTTCATATGATTCTCAGTGTAAATGCGATCATTTCCTAACATAGCCTTAACAAATTTATCTTTGTTGTGGTGAAGTTCGGTGTTCTCTTTGCGGTACAGACTGAATTCTCAAATAATGTTTAGACTTCCTTCAGCTTCAAATTGAAGTAATCTGTCCTCGGTCTGCAGGTGTACGCTGCCACACCTCTGATCCACCGGGCAGTGACAAGCTACACCCTGGAAGACTTGCGTCCTAATACGGAGTACGAAGTGGGGATATTCTTCATCCCGTTCCCGGGACAGACCACTGAGCTAATTGCCGAGCGCACAGCGCAACTGTCTACTGCTGATGTGAACGGTAAGTCTGTGTTTGTTACTCATGTAAAGAAGATGAATAGAATCAAGAAACCCATCAGGCAGAAGAGCCAGTCTGCGGACAAAAGGCGAAACCAACATCTATCGAATACGAGGAAGAAGTCCTAACCATTACATTGAGTCATTAGGTATGATTCATACATTGTAAACAGCTGCACACTTCCATCTTGAAAAGCAAATACATTACAAAACTTGTTCAAACGATGGAGTTGAATGTTCCACACGACGAATCATACATTGCTGTTTTTTCTACACGAGAAATCACGGAAAATAATTAAGACATCTGAGAAAAACGTATCTTATTTGTGCTAAAGTAATTTCTTGAGGACTTTTATCCAATCCAGAAGTTCGTTTGTTGACATGACCTCATCCTTGTACCTCGTTTTACTTTTACATCTACGACTCCCAACTGATCCCTTATATTCAGATATTCCCTACTACAATTTTACATACATTTCACATCTCTATACGTACTAGAACGTCATATCAACTCTTCATACTTGATTCGGTCACACTAGTAAAAAAAATTGTATCTCCGGGATTAAAGGCGGCTGTAGCGTGAAGTTCGTCATCTATATAAGATATATCAAGATGGCTGCCTTCTAGGTTGTAGCGCCGTGTAGTCAGTCTGTTACAAGTTTATAGACGATTCAGGGCGACGAATTCATATTCGCCGCCTTCAAAACTCAATCCCAAATATCATTGATATCAACTGAGTACTTTCAAATGTGAAAAATAGGTCAGATTTGAACTCATTTTGATTCTGTTTCATATACTTTATGCAAAATTAGAGTAAGAATCATGATCTTTAAAGCAAGTGTTCTTGCAGATCTATATAAATTCAACGTCACCCTTGAAGTCCAGCACATCAAGTCTACGTCTGTGGAGCTGTCATGGGGCGGAGTGCCTTATCCTGAAGACAAGTACGTTAACATATTCAGAGCCATTTATCAGAGCGATTCTGGTAAAGAAGACTTCAGTAACTTCAAGGTTGCAAAAAGGGACTCACAAGCCAGAACCATCATTCAGGATCTGAAACCCGGTACCAGGTACGACCACTGATGTCACGTCCATTCATTTCATAATTTAACATCCATGTATCGGTTGAGGTGTTATGAAAGGCGCTTGTCTGCACCACTTCTGTTTACTTATATTTCGTAACTTGTGTTGTTTTTCTAGGTATCGACTATGGCTGGAAGTATACCTCACAAACGGCAAGATTAAGAAATCTAATGTACAAGATTTCATAACAAAACCTGGAGCAGTTCCATCAGCTGGAGCAACTCAGCAAGGTCAGTCAACAAATATCCAGGGTTTTTTTTTTACTAAAATGAGATTCTTTCTCAGCGTTCCTGATATTCGCTAGACGTCTCAAACGAAGAGTTGCACCCTACAAAAGTACATAAGCCTGAACACATTAGAGATGAAACTTACCACAGTTCTGTAAATACTGAGGCATCTCCGTAAAAGCTTACTTTCACCCTTTGAAGTTTTGCAGGGGCGTTCGCAAGAAATCTCACTCCAGAAGCATGGCCTTCAGGAAATATTACTATTTTGGCGTATCTCAGACCGGCACAGTTATTAGGGGAGCCTATCTATATAGTAAACTCAGTCAGCGATAACTACAAAATAAGTAACTGTCGTTTACACCTCTGAACCTCTGACTTTAGAAGTCTGATATTAGGCTTTCATGTAGAAGTACGTGGCAACCAATGAAGAATTAATTGCGGAAGATTACATGAAATTATTCTCTTACAAAACAAAACTATGTTAGAGTCAAGGTTTTAAGGGCGATGAAGAAGAAAACAGTATATTTCCCATAAAAATTTGCATCTTCCGACGACGAGAATACGCGGCGCCAAAACACAGAACACTATCATCAAAACCTGAAGCTGTCTGTAAAGTGACCGCTTGTAGACTGGAAGACAGCAATTTGATTTCTGGCAAAAGAAGGGATTTTTCTCCAAACCGTTACATCCAGACCGAACCTGAGGAATACCGGGACTCCAATTCAGTCGGTACTGGGGGCTACTTCTAGTGCCGAGGTTAATAATTCGTGTAGCCAAGCCCTCATCACCTCCATGGCGTAGTGCAAAGGAACTTGTGAAACTCTATCGTTTTTATCTTTTTAACATTTAGTATAATAGTCCCAATGCTATTGCTTGCTTCGGGTTGCACACTTTGGTCCACATGTAAATATACTTCATAACTCGATACACCCAACATAGCTTCCTGTATACTTAGATCTTAGTAAAAACTGATGTTAGTTTCAGGTTTAATAAACCAGGAATGTTTTTAGTCGTACTTGTCGACAGTATGGCAAATACTGATAGGCGTATTTGCTGTTACGTCATTACGTTAAAGCGTTTTCGTGTCCAGAGCATTTGAAATGACTGCCGTATATTACGTGGTAAAATTAATCGCATTTCCATCGTCTTCTAATGTCCGTTTCAGGGAAGCTTAAGGGCGAAGACCCAGAGCCCTTGGTGGAGAAAGCAGACTATTACGGGCCATTGGTGGCGGTGGCCATCATCGCAGCCCTCGCCATCTTAGCTGCTCTCATCCTGTTACTGATCCTAATGAAAAAGCATGGCCATCATAAAGCGGCTATCTCAGCTACCCGCAAGAGTCAGTCGGCCTACGACAACCCATCTTACAAGGTAGAAATCCAGCAAGAGACTATGGGTACGGCACTGTCATAGTTTAATAAGACCCGTTCACAGTGATGTCATAGACACGGCGGCACCATAACTTTACACAATCTCTGTGTGGGTCGGAGTTCTGCCTGGTAGTCGACAGATACCTGATTCGGTTCCAAAACTCCCTCTTTTTCGCAAAAAATTGTTCCAAATCACACAACATAACGATGACCCCTTTTCAATTTTCTTTCAGATACAGTAACACAGTTTGTACGTAATTCGTTACTGCTACTAATTAACTAACATCAAATATCGGAGTCTTTCATGAGAATCTAATATTCGCTCATTCAGTCAATACATTTTTCGTCTTTTATGAAACACGAAGATTCATTACCGTGTTCAAAAGAGTCCAAAAGGGATCGTATACTGAGCTAGATATATCGATTTCACAACCTCACATCCTCTTTATTGAAGATATATTTTAATATTATCCTATCTTTCTATATTTCTCCCAAGTGATCTCCTACCTTCAGATATTGTGATTAAAATGTTACATGCAATTTTCATCTCTCCCACGCGTATTATATACCCCACCCATCTTATTGTCAATGACTTTATCTCCAAACAACATTTCGTTATAGACTAATATCACAGCTAACAATACAAATTGCGCGATACTTTTGTAATACTGATTATTGGGAATAATGACCTCTAGAGAGATTTGTGAACATGCTTGCGCTGAGGAGCAGAGCTAATTATTTTGATAAACCGTGTCGTGACTTATATTACACGTGGTTCATATTTCCACAGGCTAAACTATTTCAGGAATCGCGTATGATTTACATAAAAGATGAGCTTACACTGTGAAGGACCTCTGGGAAGAAACACCTATCTTGCTATTGCATTTTCGTCAATGGCATCACTGTGAATGGGCCCCTGCGCAGTTCGATCATGAAATAACTTAAGGCTATATTATTGTTCTTATGAACTAAGAGATGTTGTAGAAAGACAATTCAATTAACATTCTTTATAAAATATTTAAAAAAAATTCAATAATAAGATAAGTTAATGAGCCATTTACATGATACGAAAAGAGATATCTCGATTACAAAAATTTCATTTTATGTTCATTATTTACAAGTATAATTAAATTTAAAATTGTTTTGTAAACTTTCATTGTTTCTTACTCAAGACCTATGGCATTTTAACAGTAAGCTTTTACGTACAGTTCTATTTCGCATGGGACTACAAAAATGCAAGAGAAGTTTATTTTTATCTTAAAGATCTCGTGTATCGAAAGAGGTAAAATGGGACCTCGCCAATAAGGGGCACGACCTCTAAACATTCAACTGAGGCGTTACGGGCACCCGAATATAGAAATACAATTTACATACCCAAAATTCACCTGTCGCTCACAAATGTATGCTCTCAAGGGATACTGATCCAAACTCCTGGCATTCAGTTTAACGTCTACCCGTTTACAGCTGCTTTCATGCCATGTTTACGAAAGAAACGTAAAAAAAATATCGACGCTCTCTGTACTACAAACGAAATGTCGCCTTCAGGATTATAGGTAGCTTCCAGTGTGGATAATTTCACGACTTTATCATTTAACAATATCAATAAAGAGCAATAACATCTCCTGCCATTATTCTGTATAAATTTTTGTAGTATTTTATAAATATAAGTTGTCTGCTTTGTCATGGATACTACAGGCCTGTATACAAGCAAAATAAGTATTTTTATTAATAAAACCTAGCATAAGAAGGCTTACTAGTAAAGGAATTAATCACAAGTTATAGTAGAATAATGTATAAGGCTTATTTATAAAGTCGAATACCACTTGCATTTTAGTGCAACCCTTATTTTTCTATTATTGATCAGCACCCACTGTTCTCCCTAGACAGATAATACTCCATATTTTAAATGAAAATGAAAGGTGACGACAAATGAAAGGAATAAAGTACCCGTCCTTTTAAGCCCCATATTCTTTACGTAAGTCTGGAAGGACACATCCCCAAAGCAGTCATTCTGGAGTGTCTGTCATAGTTCCACAGACTGAGGCCTACAGAAGGAATTTAACAGATAAATGAAAACCAAATATTGCTTTGTTTTTATTATAATCTAGCATATATGTCGATGTTAACAATAATTTGACTTTAGAGTTATCAATAAGCTCTTAAAACACTGTAAACAAATCAATTTAATTTACTCTGTAATTACGACATGTGGTCGTGTACGTATATTAAGACGAGACTAACTATTTTCAGTATCCAATGACACATTGGGATGCTGACAGTCAGGGCCGGACAAAGGTATTTGGCCCCCTAGGTGGCTACAAATCACATACAGTAATGTAACAGATAACTTCCTTTTGATAATAAACACAAGTTTACTTCACCATTTAATTGTCTGTAAAAGTAATCTTAAAAATAAACAAGTACAAAGAAAACAAAAAAATAAAAACTGGGAAACAGAGCCTATTAGCTCAAGATGTGTCGTGTAATGGACACGAACGACTAAAATTGCCCATTGGCAAGGCTATCTGTTTCTTAACAAATATGCTGATTGGTCACACTGTCGACATCACTACACAAACATCAACCATTTTTATACGATATCAAGAATTGTCGGCGACATAAAACAAAGCAGCTGACGAAAACGCACATATTATTTTATTACGTTTATCTCTTTCTATCTTAGATGTTATTTTCGGTTCTATTTTTTCTTCCGTTTACTTTTGATTTATTCGTCGACTTTTTGTCGCCCTAAGTGACCGCCTGCCGGCGCAGTGGCCACGTGGTCTGAGGAATGGACCTCGTGCGCCTGGCCGCTGCGACCGTGGGTTCGAGTCCCACTCAAGGCATGGATGTTTGTCCGCGTCTCCTCTTCCAGTCTGGTAGGTAAAGACTGGCCACGAAAGGAAATGCGAACCCACCGTGGTACTTTAGCAAAAAAAAAAAAAACCGAAAGGGGTCACGACTGTCAAGCTGACCATAGACGACAAAAAAGTGGCCTCCTAGTTTGACTAGTGATTAAACCGGTCTGTACAGATCGCGAATCTCAAGTATGTGTGCCAGTTACGGCTTTGCTGTAATTCACTTCCAATTGGAACAGAATTTTAGATTTTTGTGCATTAATAAAATATATATTCCTACTATTTGACATTAAAATATTACGAACCTAGTAAAACATATACGCCAAAGAGTCTTACTCCTTTTGTTACACCTTATTTACACCAGTGTTTTTCTATTATAAATCGACTATCCTTGGTTTTTCTTGAGCGAGACTATATTTCCAGTCGTTCGTGCGTTGGCCTGTGTTACGGAAGATCCAAGGAAAATACATATTTCTCATTTGAAAACGACTGTCACACGTCGAAGCAAGTAGTGATGTGGGTAATAGAAATGACGTACTGGATAATCAATACTCAGTAGGTACTAGACAGCTGACCACTAAATGACGTTGGTAGATCCAAGGTTATAAAGAGAAAGAGAACATGTTCTAAAGAAGTTTTTGTTGTTCGGATACTTCCGCCAGACTTCGTGATGTTATAGACGGTTACGAATACACTCACTTGTTCCATACAAAACAAAGGTTTATTCGGGCATTGCAACCCTAAAAAATAAAGTTAATTATTTTCCACAATGTTATTTTATTGAGAGTTAAATTCTGAATCAGTCTTCGTACGGATACCATAGTTCGTCTCTTAACGACATCATACTGTCTTGGAATGACTTGCCTATTACGTCACCGACATATATTCCAGTTGATACGACAACTACAATTTTTAATAGCTTGAACTTTTTTATCTGAGGACACGCTGGAACACAATCGTACTTGCCACCAAAGTCCTTGGCTTGGCGTTTGTTCTGTATATGCTTACGTCCAGCTGACACACTATTTTCAAAACGAGACCTCAATTCTTTCACTTTACGTACGCACTGTTTCTGTTTATCAGATATCCAATAATTTTCACCAGCATTTTTCAAAGAACACTTGGAGGAACACATCGTGTCATGACGCTGTATCATACTGTCACACGCGACTTTAGATGGGAAAACAATGATATTCTGGAAATAACTAACATGTTTATACTTCTGTTGAAGTGTCACGGCTTCCACTCTTTTTCCATTACAGCCACAAAGACGAATGCCGATCTGTGGCGTAAATAACCTTGACTCGCTGTTAGATCGGGTACTTTCGTTAAACATCGGAGGTTGTCACACCCAACTCAAATAATGTTTGGCTTCCAGTTAATATCGTTTGACAAGAACACAGGATTTGTGGATGTACCATCGTAGAAAGTTCAAGGGCTATCATAATCTATCACACATTCGCAATAAAAAATATGCACGAGAGTATATCAAATCGTTTAAATGTGTCTAAAATTTCTGGTTTGTATACAACGGAACATTTTAATTGTTACTGTCTTATTTAATGAGACCTCATACTAAAATATAATAACGGAATTTTGTTGTTTTCTCCATGATGCCTTGTTCATTTACTTACCCACCCCATAAACTTGCCGTTTCTGTTCTCCATACAGTCCGATTTCTCCCCTTTGCTTCTTAAATAACCTACAATTATTCGTTATCGTCACATACACTCTGATTATAGAGGTAGTTCATTCCTCCGAAACGTCGTGAACGTTTCTCACTAGGCCCACTACAAGCCGTCAGATCTACCAAATAAGCAATAAATGTAGCATATGATATTTGATCGCTGAAAGATAACGAAAAACTAAAAACACTCTTTTTTAGATTTGGTGTTATGTATGACGCTAGTAACAATTTGTAGACCGGAATAAATTAAATATTGGACTGCCGGTTGAGGATCACTGTCTTTAACCTTATATCCAAAAACAAACATTTTAATCAATAAAATCTTCTCGGGCAATCAGCCGCATTAACTGGTTACCGTAGTAAACCGACGTTTCGGGAACCAACTGTGTCCCCATCATCAGGGTTCTGATGTGAATGGATACCTCGAAAGTCGCGGTATACTAAGGTAACCGGTTAACGCGGCTGATTGCCAGAGAAGATTTTATTGATTGTACTCGCCACGAAAGTCTCAAATCCTAAAATATTTTAATGTATGCGATCAAAGTAAATTTGACTGTTTTGAACAGTAAACATACCCATTCTTCTGCACAGACCTCTGACAACGACCCGGCGTCTGCAACAAACGGAGGGGCGGGAACGAAGACAGTGGAACAGCCGTAGTTGACCCACAGCCCTCGTAATGCTTCGCTCACTTCCACACGACTGTCCAGCTACCTCTACCAGTCCGTAAACTTCCGACAGCTCTGGACTTTGCGGCTGTATTTGATTGAAGCCTTCCAGAGGTGCGTTCTGGTTGCTTCAAGGAAATTATCATCAGAGGCAATACGCTGAGTAACTTTCGAGTGTATGTACAATCGTCCCATCCTGCATTAGACTGAATAAGAAGACTACAATTCTCAAAGGAGCCGCAGTACAATTCAGTATTTGCAAAGATGTATCACTGTCGGATTTGATATCACATAAAGAAATAGACAGGCTTTCGGATTGCAATTTCTTCAAAGGTTTACTTTTATACAGATCTTATTTCTAAAGAAACACTCCGATGTCAAAATGCAGAATTTTATAAACTGCTTTCTATTGTGTGATTGTAATGATTAATAACGTGTGGACGTTTGTGTAGAAACTCATATTTGTATCAGGAGATTAATGTATACTAGTAGGTTATTATGTTGTAAATGAAACCTATGATATATAATGTAGTTACCTCTCCTATATTACTCAAGGTTGGTATATTTGAAACTACATATAACTAAACAAAACAGAAACAATTATGTTATAAATTTGTAATATTAAATTTGATATACATAGTTAGTCGGTGTGTTCAATATAAATTCATAACATAACATTGTGGATGTAAAATATTTAATATAATAGCAATTGTCACATAAGGTAACCTGTTGATGTTAAACAACGACTATTAGGGCAGTTAGGTACCTACAGTTGTGAGCTATTGCCCACACCTCATTGCAAGACGAGTTTGATTCTTGGAAGAGGCTTTATTAACATCAAAATAAGAAAACACTTCAAAATTATTATCGAGTCAAAATGTGTGTATAATAGGCAACATATTTTTTATGAGACCTGTTCTTTCTCCTTGACTGTATGTGCCTAGTATTTCTTACAAAAAATATATTGTAAAATACCAAAAGTAGCCGTCAACAAATTGCGTGTTTCAAGGTGACAACAAAACCGTACAACGTTGAAATTCAATTCATTTATTAAAGTTCTTGACAACAGCCAAATAAGGCCAATAACAGCCAAGCACTAAACCAGAGTACAGGATAAGATATAGATAATTAAATTCATTTTAATAATAATGAAAGTAAAACATTACAAATACAAGAACAAACAAACAAATGAAACTAAATATATAAATGTACCATATTAATAATATTAATGATAATTCAATTCATTTATTGAATACAAAAAAGAGTAACCCAAGCGTGTAACAACAGCTCAGAACTCGCAGCGTAGCAACGCTGTACTGTCGACTTAGATCCGTGTGGTAAGGGCGTGAAGTCTATCCGTGGCCTTGAAGCAAAAACTTTCTTGACGGCTACTGTAACTATCATCCCCTCTCATAAAGTATTTTACGAAAAGAGGATTATGTTATAAGATGTATGAACTAAGTGTGTTTTAATGTTATTTGTGTGTCATGTTGTTCGCTGTGAGGAGTCGACCATTTGGATGTCCAGAATTAATTGTATATCTTCTTTAAATTCTTAAGATAATTTGTATGGTGAAAATATACACTCAAAGTGAGAAAAACCTTCTCCAGTTAAATCTGGAATAGGCAACGTCTGGAGTCATTGAAAATGACAAAGAAGATGCTTTAAACCTAAAAGGTTCCAGAAAAAAGATAAATGCTGTTTTTTCAGTATGTATAAAATACTCGATTTATTTTACCGACTTGTATACAAAATATATACAATAGATTTATACTTTCAGCAAAAATCATGTTGTTATGAATTCTTATATAGTTTAAAAACATTTACATTTGTATCAGTCCGAATTGGAATTGGGAGTTGGTATTTCAGTGGTGGTCCGTAGGATCTAGAAGCTAAATTTGCATTGTTATGGTTGCCTGCAAAGATAAGAAAATATTTCTCGTGCTAAACGCGAGTCTCACATTAATATAAAAGTCTTTCATATACTAAACCTCACGACATCAGCTCATATTCTTTTGCCATTCTAACGCATCACTATTAAACACAGCTGAGTGTTCGTAAATTATCAGAAACGACCAGTTTTATTCGTTATGTAACAGCAGATACACTGAAACATGAACAGACACGAAAGGCAAGATACAGCTTACAGGCAATTATTAGACCCTAATTATTTATCTACTCCGAGAAAGAGATGTGTTGTGTTTCCAGTGGTTAAGCGAAGACGGTAAATTTTGCAATTATTTTGTTGTTATATCAGTATATTTTTACAAACGTGTTAAGTGCACATTATGTTTATTCGGAAATGACATACGTCACTCGATACACAGTTCTATAATATTGTAAAGTCTTTCTAAAATAACGAGGTCGATTTTATTTAAACTCAGTAATCAAGTTCTTTTGAATTTATGAACCAGAATAATGAGTGCAAACTTTCCATGAAATGTAGAACGTTCTTAACATTTTTCGGTTCATTCTTTGTATTTATTTGTTCCTCGTCCAAGTCGTTCATAAAACAAAAAGATTTTAATAGAGAAACCAACAAAAGAAAGAAAGAAAGAACAAGAGTTTAAAATGTTATAAATTATCGCATTTGTACTTGGTCATTCATTGCTATGGTTGAATCCGTGTTGGAAAGAGATTCTACTACATTTGTGAATAAGGAACGTAGACTTATTATTTTGAAATTTCAGAAAATTACGGCACTTATTTTACAAGGCTCGTAACTTATGAAAATTGTTGCATTTCACTACGACTTATCATATTGTAGCTCCTTATAAAAAGGTCTTCAAAATGTTCTTGTAGGTTGTAAGTACACGTAACGTTACCAGCACAAAGAGGTATTTTTCAACGGCAAATCATGCATTGTAAATTGAAATAAATATTCTATTTATTAACTTGTAAATGCTTAAATCTGTACAAGACCGGACCAGCTCACAGCTCAAGAATTTCTTCCAAAACAAAACAGCAATAATAAAAAATAAAGAAGGTTATAGTCTATGTTTAATAAGAATCTTATAGCAGAAAATTAAAAAAAGTGTGCCATTCGTGCATTATTTGTGTATAGCTTTTTATATTTCTTGTGAAATGATATACGTAGTAATTAAAATAATGTATTAACATAATTGTATTCTTGATAATATGGACGGTCCCTGAGTATACTATCACTACTATAAAAACATTACCGATTTTAGGGAACTCATTAGCCACTCTATAGTTTTATAAGACTTTTGACATTTTATTATGTAGGTTAAACAATATAAAGTCAGTTTTAAATTAATAAAGATCTTTTTTCAGTTAACTTGTTTCTGTAGCATTCATAGTAGACCAAACTTATATTGTTAGTTCAAAGGAATGATATAAATGAATCAGATCAAGAATGTAACATGAGTCTTCACTGACAGGAGTAAAGAACTCGATGAGGGCCGTACGTTGTCTTCAGTCCCACCTGTAAACATCCCGCTAGACGGATCTGAATTCACAAACCAAATTTGTCCAGATGTGATTTTGAGAAGTATTCTCTTTTTTTCCCAATTTCAATCGTCTGTCTGCTTTGACCACAGCAATATAACACCCATTAAACTTCCTGGTAGGCCTACAAAAGACAAATATTTAAATCAGTTAAACATAACCCTAGTCTGAGCCCTTATGATTTAATTTACTGAACAAGTACCTATAACTGAAAAATTACATCTAGTCCACGAGTTTACAATGCTCATTTCTGAAGGTATAGTCGAACTTCAGAGTTCTACCCAATTTATCATTGTTTCCCGGTTTCCTATAAAAGGTAGCTAGAAATAAAAAAATGGATGCAGGGAAGAATTAAACAAATAGCGCATCTGTGATAGAGAATTTTAATGCAAATATTATTTAAAACGGTGAATTTATCCGGGCATAACTGTCATTTCAATATGTTTTTCACTTCCAACAATATTTTTGGTTTTGAAAAAAGAACTGTGACCTTGAAAGCAATTATTATCCCCTGATCCATGATTGTGACTTGTAACTCAGAATAAGGAAAT